GTCACAATCATGCGGCTTGATCGCAACCGCTGGTCTGAGATAGAAAATGACCTTCCAAATGAAACCATGCTTTTATAAATCGCTTATATAATCTCTCACTTCCAGACGTTGTTTATTAAATATTTATACCGCACGTCTTTCAGCTGTCAAAGAATGGAAAGCATAATTGATTGGACAGTGAAAATAAAACCACTGGCACCCTTTCCGGACCTCAGGGCCAATTTTGTGGCGTTTATCCGACCAAAGTTGTGCACTACTCGCCTACTGAACAAGACAATCAACAAGCCTCAGAGCACGCACTATCCTCCAAAATCGAATTTTGCTCACAAAAGCCAACGACTGAGAACGACAACGGCGACCTAAGTTTGCGATGGTTATGCAAGCTGGAGCACGCGAAAAAAGTTGCCTGCCAATATACTCCATTTTTGGACTTCAAACGAACGCGTTTGCCTTGTAATTTAGCCCATTACATAAGGCTGTTCTTTACTACACTGTCACAAAAGGAATATACGATTGATATGCTTATAAAATTCATTAACATTTAGGAAACTGGCACAGAGAAGCAGAGCTTGACTCCAAATTAAAACGGCATTCACAAGCAACTTAGGGTCCCAGATTGTGAACAACTAACTGTAGATAGAGTTACATCAAATAACCTTGGACAAGTGCGGTTAGTGTGTGCCTTTCCACTTATTGGAAAAGGATGTTTAATGCAGCCGAAAAGAGTATTTTCGTATCTTTCTTGCGGGATCTAATTGCTCATAAATATGTATTTTATCCGTCTTTCGCTGGGCAATCAGCGACACACAAACACGTCCTTGTCCGTCCTTGCAGTTCTATTTAATTTCTCTTGATGAATATTCACTGGCTAAATATGAAATAGTGAATACAACTTGCTACTTAAGCGGCTTAAGTAGTTTGTTGAGTAATTGTTATGTTACTATCATGGCCAAGAGCAAGCGAATTATCGATTAGTGGAAATGGGCCGGAGTTTTGTCATTATTAGCCCAAATTGAACATGGCTTTTGAAACATAGCCCACAGTCTTCAGTGCATAGATGCGCGCCAATCACAGCAGTGCCATTAAAAACATGAGGCTGTTTATTATATAGAGTTCAGCTTCACAAAACTACTTTGCCGGCATTATTTGTGGAAGTTGCGGTTGTCAAGGGATGCGGTTCGGGTGTTGGTTTTGTGGGCTGGAGACGTTAACGTTGTTGCGGGCATAAAATATTTATGGCAAACATTCAGTTATTCATGAGTTGTAGATTGTGCTAGTGACGGATACAATGCCCGATTCCGGTAGATGTAAGAATACGGAAAGTCGAACGATATTTTCATTTCAATACATTTTTCCGCACTCGTGACATTCACTTTGATTTTATGCGTCGTGATCCGATGATGTAGGAATAAAATCCTTTCAACGTAAATAAATAGTAAATATGTCGACATGCCTTTAGACGCACTTTTACCCGGCAAAACTTGATGGCTGTATCTGTATAACTAGTGTCGCAACAATGCTGTATTTGAGTAGACGGCATTTAATGCATATGGCTAAGCCTTACTGTAGACGTTCTTCACGTACGGAAGATCCCGCCAAAATTTGGGTTCGGTTGGATTTGGTCTCTGGTGTCCTTTTCGTATGCACTGGTTGACAAAGCTGCACGGGTAACCATTGCCTCTCATTACCCGTCGAACATATTGTAGTTCAGCAACCTTGTCTTCCATTTCACTGCAGTGCGTCTCAACGCGCTGGTATAGCGCCCTTACGCAACTGCGTTTGTGACTGTGCGCTTTTCATATATTGCAATATGATTTCGAGCCTTTGACCGATTTTCGTTTTTACAATGCATTAACGAAGTCGTCCTTACGCCCATAATCACATATTCCTGAAATTAATGTACCCAAACTACACCAATACCTCGAATTCCAGAAGAATGCCACCCAAGACAGTGCGACTTCTAAAAAGCCTTTCCGAAATTTAAATAAACGTATTTTAGTTAATGCAATAAATCAAGAATTCCTATTCAAATCTTTTAACCGAACAAAATTCATTCAATTTGCAAACGACAAATCCTTATGTATAACACAGTACGATTTGATGGCTTTGTGTCGCATAATTAACGTTTGTTTGATCAGGATGTAAAATATGAACAACCACTTCCCGGACCTCACAGACACTTCCAAGAACAAAACAATACATAGATGTTTTGGAAGATTTTGAATAATTCATACTGACCTAACTGTGAAAAACTTGGCACCTCGGTTGGATTTGAAACCACGCAATAAGAGGAGAACTTTTGTTCAGCCAGCGCTCTAACCACTTGAGTTACGAGACCCCGCCTGAAGACGCGATTTTAATCACATTTGGGTCAAGTTACCCGCCCGACGTATGAATTATTCAAAATCTGCTAAACCATCTATGATATACGTGAACCTGCTAATCATTTGTGGATTCTATGTGAATTACTTAGCAAATCCTGCTTGGGCCTTCAAATAAATGCGTCAGATTTGGCGGATTCCAGACGTTGCAGTATTTTAGGCAGATAATTTGACCCAATTGGTATTAAACTCGCGTAGTCTGGCGGGGCCTCGTAACTTAGGTTGTTAGAGCTTTGGCTGTACCAAAGTCTTGCCCTAACTGCGTGAATTCGAATCCCACCGAGTCGCCGAGTTTTTTGTAGTTGGATCAATAAGAACAAAATAATAAACATTTTATACTTTCGAACTGTAAAATCAGACGTAAATGACGACGTTGGGATATTTGTATATCAATACTTTCCTCTGCTATTGAGAATTTCTCCTTGAATGTAAGAGCCGTGAACCGAAGATGCAGGAATGAAACCGTCACATGAAATTTGCAACAGAATGCCAACGTGGATGAACAGTGAATACGACTGCGATCTGCCTTTAGACACCCTTTTAGCGGGCAAAACTTGATGGCTGTAAGTATATAACCGGTGTCACAACAATGCTGTATTTTATTAGTTGACATTGACTGTATATTTGTAAGCCTAATTGCGGAACGCCGTGGTAATATAAAAATATTGGCTTAATGTTACCTGCGCGCCAAGAGTTCTAACAATTTTTCAGGCTGACGTTTGGCTGAGTAAAGTAAGTTACAACCTGAGAGTTGTCACAATCGCAGCAAATAAGGGTTGTGTGCATAGTGGCGTTGATCTCTTCAAAAATCAAATAATCAAGTAACACCACATGAGTAGGAAGAATAATGAGCTATATATTATCAAAAATTCCATTTTAGACCTTGGCCAGCCACCCCATTTAAAAGCGCATCTGTTTAAGGCAGCAAACGTCCCAACTGCCGTGTTTATTTTCATGTAATCCCGCTTATCTTTCAGACGGAGTTTGATGACACTCTTAGAATTATTTTGGACTGAAACGAAACAGTGGTCTGTGTGGTAAGCACGATATTTTTCCGTAGATGAAAGCCCATTCAAACTACATTTTGCAATCTGATTGTTTTCTTTTATCTTTGCGTTTAATAATTCATACTAAGTGAATATCTTAATTAAGACAATTTCGTATTGTCTTCATTTTTCAATGAACATGGTAACCATACGACTGTGTAATAATTTTAAACTAATGATGGGGGTAAGGTCTACCGCACAGAGAAGGAAAGAGCTCACGACATTTATATGCTTTTGCAATGGTTCAAACGATTTCCGAAGTAGATTCGGCAGTGAGTCCTTCGTCGTTCCTGCAGACAAGCGCAAGAAAAATCAATGTTGGTGCGTGCTTTTTTAGGAATTAAACACGGTGGTGCTATGGGTGTTTAGTCTCGGCTGACTAATAGGCGACACTTCGATAAGTGAATTCAGCCAACCCCATGACTTCACGACTGCCATTTGTCAATCAGTGCGTTTACCCAGACAAAAGTCTTTACTAGATATTTGGCTTTCAGATTAACTGACAGGCGTTTGCTGCCTGTTGGTTTGATTGAAAGATGCCTAGAACAAGTGGCGATCTAAAACATAAAGTTCGCAATAGACGCACCTAGTTGTTTAGGTCTCAGGGACCTTCAAGCGAATTTTCTTCTTCGTAATTCCCAACTGGTTTGTCAAAAAACTGTGAAAGGAGGTTCTCTTAGCAAAAAGGATGCCAAAGTTGTCTGAAAAGAAGGTCTGAACGCTTTTAGGCACTTATATAAAGGGTACCCTATAATTTCTGAAGTAAAGTTATGGCCCGTGTGGGTTTGCAGTGAGAAGGCAATTTGTTAAACCAGTCAAAGTCGTGTCAGCCAGTAAAGTCATTGCCAAAAACGGCATGATCTCATTTGGTGCATCAATCGGACAGGGGCATCAACTGTGTTCCGATCGAACATGTCATTATTTTGACCTGGCGTTTCGGATTCCTGCTCGAATCCATCATCAGAGACATAAGCAGATAAGGGTGGTTCATGCACATGTGGCTGCAGTACTTATAGGATGCCGTAGCCATGCCACCGCATACCTATGAATGTTCACGGCTCCCTCCCCTTCATCAGGGATCGTTGCACGTGGCGAGATGGTCGATATTCGCGTCCTTAATTGCTGCAATTTCATCACTTGCGTTGGATGTTGGTGTGATGATTGCTCGACCATCTGACCCGCTGACCCGGGTGTTGGGAAGAGTGTACATCAGGGCGCTCCCCGCGTGGCCAATTTCTCCGCCTAGACGAAGTCTCAGCACGCTGTATTGAATGGGAAGATCATTGCACATGTTAATAGACTGGGGGCCAGTGAACCATGACTCAAGCAGCTCCCGGATCACGCGGTTGTCACCTCTTGCGAGAATTTCGGCCTCGTCAATTTTGAATGTGTGGCCGGAACCCGTCGAATAAGCCGCAACTTGTGAGCTGGCGTCATTTCTCCGCACTGCTGCAGCGTGTTCGGTCATTCGCGTTCGGCGCTGTCTTCCGGATTCTCCGGTCTACAATACCTCCGACGGTTATTCAAAGCCAATGGCTACCCGAGCAACTTTGTCAATTGGTGCATACGCAAAATGGACGAAGGGCCTAACCGCAGGGACACCAAAGTTTGGCGAGCGCTTCCATATGTCAAGAACGTTTCGGAAGCTGTTGGCTGCCTTCTCGCACACAGGCCAGAGGCAATCGTCAGGCGTCAACTGATGAAACCAAAAGACCCACTGCCACGGCAAGAAACGTCTGGAGTCGTTTATCGGATCTGCCGCAGTTGCGGACATAGCAACTACGTCGGAGAAACCGGAAGACAGCGCCGAACGCGAATGACCGAACACGCTGCAGCAGTGCGGAGAAATGACGCCAGCTCACAAGTTGCGGCTCATTCGACGGGTTCCGGCCACACATTCAAAATTGACGAGGCCGAAATTCTCGCAAGAGGTGACAACCGCGTGATCCGGGAGCTGCTTGAGTCTTGGTTCACTGGCCCCCAGTCTATTAACATGTGCAATGATCTTCCCATTCAATACAGCGTGCTGAGACTTCGTCTAGGCGGAGAAATTGGCCACGCGGGGAGCGCCCTGATGTACACTCTTCCCAACACCCGGGTCAGCGGGTCAGATGGTCGAGCAATCATCACACCAACATCCAACGCACGTGATGAAATTGCAGCAATTAAGGACGCGAATATCGACCATCTCGCCACGTGCAACGATCCCTGATGAAGGGGAGGGAGCCGTGAACATTCATAGGTATGCGGTGGCATGGCTACGGCATCCTATAAGTACTGCAGCCACATGTGCATGAACCACCCTTATCTGCTTATGTCTCTGATGATGGATTCGAGCAGGAATCCGAAACGTCAGGCTAATAAAGCTCTTGTCCCGGCGATCGTGTCTTCTTCTTCAAGACTGCTTCCTGGAACTCATCTTTTCGCTTCTATTGGCATGTCATTATTTCCACGCGTACTAATTAAGGTTTGTTTAATGCGGCCGGAACTTCTGGCATCCTCCGCTTCTAGGGACATTCATTGCCCACTGTGTCCTAGGCAACCAGGTGTCTTGCGGCATTAACATCACCCAAACGGATTGAAATATATTCAACCCGACTTAGAGATACCTGCGACATCTTATTTTACGGTTACTTTTTTGTGACCTTCAAATTATTATATCTAGAGAATGATATGAATGACTTCTTGATGATTACGTTTAGTCAGTTCATTACAAATGAGGTCACTTTAATGGAGATCATGCTCAAACACATTTGAGACGACAACAACAGAATAAAGCCTGTTGCAAATGCAGGGTTTCGGCTATTGTTGGCATCGTATGCATTATCAGGAAAGGAGCTGACAGAGAAAGAAATGCGGATCTGTGGCAAGTTTAACGTTCTCTGCATACGTCAGGGGGCTTGTTCACTCACGCGATTGGGATCTGGGCATTTTGCCAAATACCACAGAATTAAGGCAACATGGTCAAATATATTCGGGTAAAAAGCATATTTCACATAACGGATAATATTGAACTCACAACACTCACGGCAAATGTAAGTGCATTTATACAAATTACTTAAGAAATTTAAAACTATAAGACATAACTCATTGTGGGAACGAATCGCTCGTCACTGCGTCATGGTGCAGCGGAAACATCGGCGAAATACGTGCTTACACATTGAGTCTCGAGAATGCAGTATAAAGCCTTAGCCCGACATTCATATATTTGTTTCGAAAGAAATAATTTCTTTGGGAAAGTTAACCAAGTTTTAGTGTAAATTTTCGAATTTGTTTTCCAATTCCTCCTCAGACGTGAAGTAACCGTGAAAACAGTTTACATTTACACACACCTAAAAATCGATTTCGCCCTGTCACTACTGCTGGCGTAATGTCCTGATTGGTCAATGGCCTTTTCCCCTTTTTCATGAGATTTCTGTACACCTTATTCAATTTATCGTGTCGGTTTATGCGTGGGTTATCAGAATGGATGGCCTTTAAAAATTCACGTCCTTTCTTAGATGAGCAGAAAACTACTATGCAAGTCCTGTTGCAGGCAAATTCGTGTTCAGTTTTCATCGTATGTATCGTAACTCGGGACAAGTGGCCTCGCCTTTTGACGGCCAACTGATTTTACTGATTTTACCAGTTTGACCGCATTTAACCGAATTATAGGTGTTGCCGTGCGTCTTATAAACGAATTCCTTGTCATCTAAATAGCCAACCCTATCATTAGGGTGTACAAGTTGGTTACGAAATGTAGTCGTCGGCTTTTTTGCCACATGTATTTGGGGCGTCTTCAGGTGTCTTTCAACTAGTTGGGACACATTCTTAAGACATGGAAGTGTTCGGCAGTTTTTTTTTGGTTTGGACGCCTGATCGGATCAATCTAGTTCCTTGTCTTTTTCTTTTAACTCCTTTCGTCTCACACATCGGTGTACAACATATCCAGGTTACGCATTTTGCGATAAGAGTTTGAACAAATAATCCAGTTCTGTTTGATATGTTTCGTTGTCAGAGCAGTGGGTTCTTGCTCGGTTAAGGAGGCTGTTCACGGCACTCCGTTTGTGAGAGATCGGGTGATTGCTCTAGTAATGCAAAAGAACTACCGCGTAGGTTTCCTTGTGGTAAACCAAAGTGTGAAATGTCCGGCTTACATCGAAAAATGGGAGGTTGTTTTCAGCCTCTTTCTCGAGTGTGAATGTGATTTCCGGAAGTGTTGATTTAATAGCATTTTGGACTATTTCCAGTTGACCAATTTTAACCATGAAAAACGTGTCGTCAACATATCGCAGCCATAATCCAAGGTTAACTAGTGTTAAGGCGATAGCCTCTAATTTCTGCATTGGGATTTCTGTCAGAAAACCGGAGTTGGGTGATTCCATAGGGGCTCCCTTCGGCTGTTGATACTATTCCTATGCAAACAAAATTTTCGCTTGTAGACAAGCGCCTAAGCGTTCTAACAGAGCAGATGCAGGGATGTCCGTGTCGTAGTACTGGAGACTTTCCTCTCTTCATAGTCTTGTTAAATCCAGTATTACTAAGACAAAGAGGGACGGCATCAAAGGATACCATTATTTCATCTGGTGCTATTCGCAGTCCTGGTAATTTGTCGAAACAACTCTCTTGAAATATTTATTAATATTTCATAATCCTTTGTCAACGGATAGAGTATGTGGAATAGCTATTTAGAAATAATAGGGTGCACCGATTAACGGTATTATCGGTCGCAGTGGTACTTCAGGTTTGTGAAACTTAGGTGGTCCATAGATCTTAGTTTAAGTTCAGCGAATATTCCCATGTTACATTTGAAAAGTCAAATTGGCGAACATGTGTTTACAGTAACTGTTCATCAGGCCAAAACTGTTACAATGAAGTTTAAGCTATGCGAATTGCATGACTTATAGATGATTCGGGGACAATTAACATCGATCGTTCCAACGCCACTCGCATGACGAGGCGTGCTATGGCGTGGTCGGCGTGTCGTGGTAATTGGGTTCAGGGGGCGAGGAAGAGGGGGGGCATAGGCTGTGAGTACGTCGTGTACCTTGTGCACCCACCCTGGCATCAGGAGGTTGGGGCGACGTTGGGATCGGCGTCGGCCACGGAAGACAGAGCGCCTCTGTCAGAGTCTTCTGACAGCATAGCACTGGATTGTCTAGCCGTATAGCCACTGCCTCAACTGTAGCTAGCACCCGTTTGCGTAGGCCTTTGGAGAAGCCTGCTGGTGTCCGGTAGACAATCTGAAAGGCTTCTTTGGCATCGACTCGGTGATTCGTATCGACTAGATGTGCGACAATCGAACTCGAGATCGATTTCTTCTCACCTTTGCCTAGCCAGTCCGGTATGTGTTCACGTACTCTCTTTTCCAAGCGCCTCGTTGTACGACCGATGTATTCCGCTCCACAGGAACAAGTGAATGAATAAATACACATTGATGTGGCCTGCAACGGGAGTTGGTCTTTACCTCCCAATGACCACGACACGCCGACCACGCCATAGCACGCCCCGTCATGCGAGTGGCGTGGGAACGATCGATGTTAATTGTCCCTGAATCATTTATAAGTCATGTAATTCGCATAACTTAAACTTCATTGTAACCGTTTTGGCCTGATGAAGAGTTACTGAAAACACGTGTTCGCCAATTTGACTTTTTAAGATCTTAGTTTGTTGCCGGGTTTTGGCAATATCTCGTGATATTTACTTCTGTTTCGTTAGACATTTTAGGACTTTTTCTATCCCCGTACTTTACGCTTTAGTGGGATTCGTGGTAAGAGGTTTGTAAGTTGATCTATCCTGTAGTATTCACATCTCTTCGTTATAGTCTGCTTTGTTTAAAATCGCGGTTGATCCTCCTTCGTCCGCAGGAATTATGATAATGCTTTTGACACTTTTTAATGTTTTACTGCATTCCTTTCCTCACGTGATAGAACAGAAAAGGGATTTCGGTCATTTAAGGTATGCACACTGTTATTCCGGATTGTGAATCGTTTATCCTTCACATGAATTTTTGCGGATATTGTGGACTCCAAGTTTGCAAGGAAGTCTAGGTATTTCGCCTTCGATAGATTATATTTCATTCCATTAGAAAGTACACTCTCTTGAGCGTGTACGCCTTCTCGCTAAAAGATACACAGTCTTCGTCGTGAAAGTTTGGTTTGCAGGAATTCGGTGAGAGATTGCCACCCATTATTTTTCTAAAATACTTCTCTTTTTCCGTTTTTCGATTTTAGAACCATAGGCAATCCTTTCACCTAGGGATTCAACTAATTGTCAGGGGAACTTGACTTGGCAGAACTGCGCACGACGTTATTTAGGAGTTTGAAATGCATCAATTCTTTTTAATTGAACATGCGATCTGCCAAAATGAAGGCAATTGGGCTATAAACGGGCAAACATCGAACCAGCCAGCATGTTACACGACACGTGAAGAAATCCTTCGATTTCCAGGCGAGAGGAAATATCCTTCGCCCATTTCGATAGCCAGACATAACACGACGGACCACACGAATCAATACTTTAACATTGTCTACGGTGGGGTTTTACCGTGTGGAGTGAAAAATGCATAAGCCATTAAAACAAAGCTAACCAAAGAAACCCTTCTAAGGGCACACATTGTCTAAGAAGTTCAATCGGTATGGTTTCGCTACAGCATACTGAGGTTTCGTGACAAGATGACTGAAACACGATGGGATATTAAAAATGAATTCAGCACATAAACCTCGCAATGAGATCCAGGGTGAGTACGTGAGTTATTGTCTGTCATTCAAACTTCTTCCTTGGTTTGCATTTATTAAGCGTGTTCGCTTAAATGACATACAGACGATCATGGAGGCAAACAGTTGTCACTCAATTTTTTGCTGTAACCAATGGCATGACAGCAAGGCGGACAACCAAATAATATACATATAGGCATAAATGCTGTGCGGAATTGTCAAACTATAGCTCCAACAGTGACATCGGTTCGACACAATGGGATTCCCTTCGCCGATGCTGCTTCAGGCTGCGTTGATTTTACTGGTAGTCTCTCGTACGTTTGAAAATTCAACACAATTACGGGCGATTGATAAAAAGTCACTGTTCTTGCTAAATAAGCCGTTCCATTTCATTAAGCAGTTAGAGATCATCCAGCGAGCAAGACATGAGCCCTTATCCTAACCACTTGTAAGGCATAATACTCTAATTTGACAACTGTTAGTAAATCAACAATACAAATATAAGTATATATTAGTC